GCTTATTCATGTGGGGAACATATATAAATAAGTATATTTGATATTATTTCTTAAATAGAAATAAACTGATATGTGAATTAGAACCATTAATGATGAGGATAATTAAATATAAATCAGTATATTTGATATTATTTTCTTTGTTGTTTTAACACCACACTCAGGAATATTCCATCTATACGACGGATGTCTGTAAATAATCAAGTCTGGACCAGACAAACTAGAGATTGATACGCAATTAGGATACGATGACATGCATCAACCAAGTCAGCGAGCCTCACCACCTGATCCCGTTGGTAATTATTATTATTAGTAGTAGTAGTACTAGTAGTAGTAGTAGTAGTAGTAGTAGTAAGATAAGGGGAAAACCAACATGTGAATCAGTATATTGGATATATTACCTATTGGCAGAATCAGTATGGCTGATTAGAAGAATACTGATATTCAAATCAGTTTAATGATGTTACGTGTTGTCATATAGGGACAACAAGCATAGATCAGATAATCCTTAAAAATATATTAGCTTGTCCATACCGGACATGACATTTCAGAACTGGGTAGAGTAGGCACACTGATCTTTGCAGATCAAACTATAGTCAACATTCATTAGGCTTTTTATTCTTATTAGCTGGACTACAAAATATTTTTTGAATATCTAAAATTCAGTGTAGGTGGTCGAGCAAAATATATTTTTAAAATCCCATTTCTAGCCTAGAGTGAATGAGTGCAACATCACGGCGGGGGACACCAGAAATGGGCTTCACACATTGTACCCATGTCGGAAATCGAACCCAGGTCTTCGGTGTGACGAACGAACGTTTTAACCACTAGGCTACCTGACCGCCCCTTCTAGCCTAGAACTGCTACCAATGAACTTGCAGGTCAAACCATCACACAATTATGATTGCAAAACGATTGCAAAAGATAACTGGTTGTTTTTTTGGTTAGAATTAAGATTTTTACACATATTCTTATGAACAGCACTTATTTTCTTTTTACCTAACTAAAATATTTTTGTAAAAAGTCATTTTTCTAATGTCATTTTTTGGGTTGGTCTGTTTTGTAAGCCAACCGACAAAATAAGGCCTTATAGATGAAATGATAGGGACACACTATGGAGTGATACCCATCATCATCGACATTTTGTTGGTTTATAAACAAATATGGTCAAGAATTGTTTGACCTGTTTGATTGCTGGGTCAGTAGGGTCAGTAGGATATGAGATATCTGTCATACAAACCCTGAAACAAGTTTTTTTAAAAATATTCTATTTTAGTCACATGATGTTCAACCACGGTATACATAACCACAGAAGTCCATGTGGTCAGGGACTACCCGTCTTCCAAATTATACGTCAAATAATGTTTTAAATTTGCAGATCAGTTAATAACCTGTCAAGGTAGAGATATTGTTTCTTTGCATATTTATATATTATCAGTGACTGTCTTAAATCTGTAATATAATTTACTACCGACAACTTAACATTTGCAAAATGAGACATACATATAAAATATTTTACATGAAGGTTTGTGAAACAAATATATCCAATGATCCGAAGCAAGTCTATAGTAGTTAGCAAGTCTAGATTACTGCAGTTTCAGAAAATGAAGAGAGTCTCCTGGTTCCTATTTATTATATTTTATAAAGATAATTTAACAACTGTTTATTCTGTAAAATATTTTCATTTCAGAGACTAATTGTAAGTCTAGATATGAAAAACAAAAAAACAAATTATTTTGGACTCTGAACCTTATGTGTTTCAAGGGGAAACCTTACATACTCCATTACTGTTGTTTCAAGTTTCATTATGATTAACACAAATGACATTGTTATCATTATCTTACCATTTTCGTGTTATCATGATTTTGATACCAGGTCTTCTTACTGGTCTTACACATGTACGTAACCTTCACTGTAATTAAATTTTGTTACTTGGGACCAACCATTTGAAAATCGGGGGGGCTGGGGTTTTATCAAAAAATAATTTTGTTTCAGACTGTTGAAAAAAATGAGATTGTCAGCCACAAAATATACACTGTTGCAAGTTGTTTAAAATAAATAAATATATATATATATATATTTTGGCTCATAGTTATAATGAAAAATATATCTAGTCTCCATACAAAATTCCATGCCCCCTCCAGAATACCAAAAGATCGGTCACTGACTATCATGAAAATCAGCACCATGGGTAGACTTTGATCATGATAATCTATCACTTTTTGTCAACATCATCAATCACTTCCTCATTCACTATTATAACATAAAATGGTTCTTTGAAATCTTCTTTTTCACTCATCCAAGAAAGCATTAAAATTTTATTTCAGTGATGATGATCTTGAAATTTGTCCAAGGAGACACATCATCCTCCCTTGAAATAAAACTGCCGGCAGTTGTTAATCAGGCCGTAGTTTATTGACCCTGACCTTGATAACCCAATATTCAAAGAACATCCTAGTTAACCTTTCGAAATTTTCATGCAGTCGCCCAAAAAATGTCAAACATGGGTCACACACTCTACAAAGGAGTTAACAATGGATCCAAAAGATTAGCAGGAATATAGAGGTAACCAGGCAACACGATCTCGGCTGATTACTCCTGCCACCACTTCAAGATAGATGCTACGACGAGGGGACAATCTCCAGAAATTGAATTTTCTGCTCTTTGTTAATTCAAGGCACACTTGGAGTTTAACCACTTAAAGAGCCTTAACTGACTGCTGCAAACCTCAACATTTTCATCTGTGTGTGACGGATCGATTCAAGCAGGCAGCATCAGAGAATTAGACAGTGTGTCACAGTTCCTGGCACGAAGCCCTTACCATGAACACTTAGAGCTGCATGACTGGCGCTCTTAAAGAGGCATTACACTGTTGAGGTGTTGGGGTTGAGTGAGTGAGTGATGTCACAGTGCCTGGCACACAGCCCTTACCATGAACACTTGGAGCTGCATGACTGGCGCTCTTAAAGAGGCATTACACTGTTGAGGTGTTGGGATTGAGTGAGTGAGTGATGTCACAGTGCCTGGCACACAGCCCTTACCATGAACACTTGGAGCTGCATGAATGGCGCTCTTAAAGAGGCATTTCACTGTTGAGGGAGTGAGTGAGTGAGTGATGTCACAGTTCCTAACACAAAACCCTTACCATGAACACTTAGAGCTGCATGACTGGCGCTCTTAAAGCTTAAAGAGGCATTACACTGGTGAGGTGTTGGGGTTGAGTGAGTGAGTGATGTCACAGTGCCTGGCACACAGCCCTTACCATGAACACTTGGAGCTGCATGACTGGCGCTCTTAAAGAGGTATTACACTGTTGAGGTGTTAGGATTGAGTGAGTGAGTGATGTCACAGTTCCTGGCACGCAGCCCTTACCATGAACACTTGGAGCTGCATGACTGGTGCTCTTAAAGAGGCATTACACTGGTGAGTGAGTGAGTGAGTGAGTGAGTGAGTGAGTGAGTGAGTGAGTGAGTGAGTGAGTGAGTGAGTGAGTGAGTGAGTGAGTGAGTGAGTGAGTGAGTGAGTGAGTGAGTGAGTGAGTGATGTCACAGTGCCTGGCTCGCAGCCCTTACCATGAACACTTAGAGTTGCATGACTGCCGCTCTTCAAAAGGCATTACACTGGTGAGGCAATATCACGGCAGGGGATACCATTGTGCACATGTCGGGAATTGAACCCAGGTCTTTGGTGCAACGACCAAATACTTTAACCACTAGGCCACGTTATGATTATCACACCTGAGGTTAAGTAAAAACTGTAGCACCATATTTGGACCACAGTACTGACAACTGTTGTTAAAAGAAGTATTGTTGATAAAGTGATTAACTTTAATAATATCAAGCACAGAACTTGATAATTTCATTAACAAACAGTTGAAACACATTCTATTGAAAATAATCGGGGGTCTTTGTTTGAGACCCAGAACTGCTGTTTTAAACATTTAAAGACCTTGCTAAATCTCATTTTGACACATCATTGACATTTCCAGTATGTTAGTGTGTGGAATCATTGCACAGTTGGTATATCCTTATAACAGCCTGGGGTTACAACAACTATTTTTAGAATTAGGGTCATATCGGAATAAGCCAGGTAAATCCCTTGAATTACATGTAGGTCAAATTACTAGTTTCTTTTACACACTCACAGGGATACCCTAGGGATCTCAAAAATGTATCTGTAATTTGGGGAAATGTTCTGCATAGACTTCTGCCACGTTATATGTATGTGAGTAGACTTCTTCCTTTTTATTCCTTTTTTTAAAAAACTCTTTGTACCATTTATTCCCCCTGGCATTTCTTTGTCTGTATTGATATTAGTGCCCAGGATCTGCTCTTTCTGCTGATGCCATACTGTTAAGGGCTTTTCGCCCTTGGTCTTTAATTATGAGGCGTTAACTGATACACAGTTAAAAATCCCTGGGAATTTTTATTTTTCATAACTTCAAATGGCTATAAAGTTTTTATTTTGGTAGTTTTGACATATTTAGTGATAGTGTCAAATGCACATTTCCAAAAGCTTTCCATATATCTATAACACATGGTATGGTTTCCAAAAGGGGTCACGTGACCAGCCCCAAATGCATTATGGTCCGAATTACGTTTGAACCCGGTTTGGAGGTGCAGTGGATATGTATCATTCATAATGAGAGTGTGGACCTACCTGTGCTTGGCAGTATTGGTACATAACATAGGTGTGGACCTACCTGTGCTTGGCAGTATTGGTACATAACATAGGTGTGGACCCACCTGAGCTTGGCAGTATTGGTACATAACATAGGTGTGGACCTACCTGTGCTTGGCAGTATTGGTACATAACATAGGTGTGGACCTACCTGTGCTTGGCAGTATCGGTACATAACATAAGTGTGGACCTACCTGTGCTTGGCAGTATTGGTATATAACGTAGGTGTGGACCTACCTGTGCTTGGCAGTATTGGTATATAACATAGGTGTGGACCTACCTGTGCTTGGCAGTATTGGTATATAACGTAGGTGTGGACCTACCTGTGCTTGGCTGGGTTGGCCATGTCAAAGATCCAGGCATCCTTATAGGAAGTAGGTGAACAACCAGCAGTGGCAAATAATTGAGACTGAGCATTCGACTGGTGACCACTGAAAATACAAAAAATTGATGTAAGACCATGTGAATAGGGAACCCAGCAAATTTCATAATGGTAACAGGAACTATATAATTCAACACAAACAGAGAGCACATTTCACCATCCGCGACAGGTATAGATGAACCAATACTAGTACCAACATGTAATAACTCACATATCAACCAACAAGATCTTATCATATACTCACCAGGCACCAATAAAATACATTTAAAAAGCTACCCATGCAGTGAGACAGGATAGATGCCATTATCCACCTTTTCTCCCCTTGGCTGGTTGCACTTGGCGTGAAAGCGTACCACCAGAGATACAACTTAAATAATTCAACGGATCATCGCTCAAGCTCCTATTATTTGATTTCAAGAACACTTTTGCTTTGGTGCTTTGGACTTTCTTCCACCAGGACGCAGGCCACAATAAACTACAGCACCCACCATGGGGCCAACTAACCACTGCCATGAAGCCAAGCTGTGACTCTCTACTACACACGCTTCTAGGTTTTTTCCAGTACATACTACAGACATGTCCTTCTTAATAAAATAGGACCTCATATAAAAATCAATGATGTCATGTTAAATCATGGTTACAATATGAACATTCAACAGCATATTTGCATTAATATAATGCATTCCTGCTAAGGGATTTTCAATCATTATTGACAAGAAACGATTGTGTCTATTCATACGCAAGATAATGTCAAATTTAAGCAATCTCTGTCAAATAAAGTTATATTCTTCCAATAAGATAATATTTCCCCAGTTTTTCTTATTTGCATTAACTATTTTGATTTTTTGCTCTGAGTATACATGTTAACACTGACAGAAAGTGGGGCTTGGAAAAGAAATATTTTGAAGAAACAATGTTTGTTTCCAATCATATTAACAAAGGCTTGTAAGAGGCAATTAACGGTTGATGCATGTCCTCGTATTCCAGTTACGTTCATGGATGCTCACAAGGTCAGTCACTAGGAAATCTGGTCTAAATCCATTATTTACAGACAGCTGTCATATTGCTGGAGTATTGGTGAGTGCGATGTTAAACAAACAAATAGACAAACAAACAAACATTCTGTAACTGTTTTAAGTAGAATACAAAACAAAAGGAAACTTCGGCAGTACTCTGCTAGAAAAACGGCTTTGACATCCCTCTGGAAAAGCAACAATGTTTAAGCTTTTCTGTGAAATAATACAAATACAACTGAATATGTAATGAATTCAAAAAGTATATCTCCACGTCAAATATCACATATTCCAACGAATGACTATTATTAAAAAGAATATGAAAATAAATAATTTTCAGTTTTGTTGTCAAAAAGATACAAAGAGTCCATTGCAGTATGAAGAGATTTTGACAACATACCTGATATACCCTTGCATAGTGGATGAAGCTTGAGCCTATCCAACAACACTGACTAGGTCACAGACACTGAACACAAAAGCGGTTCAGTTCAATATTTAAAACAAAGTTTAATGTAGAGCATACACCTGTAGCAATACCAGTGCTTGGTTGACAGTTCAGTGGCTCATGGGATATCTGTTGATTTTGATCACATGTCCTCTTGCATAACTTGCATCACAGCTGATCGAGGTGAATTGGTGTGTAACGTTGCGTTCAAGATAACTGCATGTGTATAGCAATGTGCATGTTGGTTTGTTTGTTGTTTAATGCCGCACTCAGCAATATTCCAGCTCTATGACGGCAATGTGCATGTACATGTGTGAGATGTGTGTATGTGTGTGATTATCTACACGTTCATGATTATTGCACTTATATAGCAATGCGCATGTACATGTACGTGTGGGTGTGGTTTGTGTATGTGTTATTAACTACGCGTTCATGTTTTTTTGTTTTTTTTTGCTTGTTGTTTAACGCCACAATTTTCAGCTATATGACAGCGGTCCGTAAATAATCGAGTCTGGACCAGACAATCCAATGATTGATATCATGAGCATCGATCAACGCAATTGGCATATGATGACATATATCAACCAAGTCAGCAAGATCGACCAGTCGATCCTGTTGGTTGCCTCTTACGACAAGCATAGTCGCCTTTTACGACAAGCATAGTCGCCTCTTATGACAAACATAGTCACCTTTTACGACAAAATGATTATTCATGTACATGTGCAAGTGTCTGTGTGTGTTGTGCATGTTTGTAGTGTGTGAAGTGTGTGTTTGCGTGTGCACAGGAGAAAGTAAACTTTGAACCAATTTGGTTCATGTTAGCTCTATTCATTCAAGTCGAAATTGCAATAGCCTACTTTGACAAATGATTTTGCTTATGATATAGTCATGTCGGAATCATACAATGGACTGCTTTTAGAAGAGATTTCCTATGATTGTGGTGCCAACATACTATGTGTATCCCTTAGGACTAGTTGAACTGGCATCGGCATGAAAACTTTACATAATATTTGCAACATAATCATTCTACATCCTGAAAACCTAAATTGCTGTAAGATATGAAACATAAAAGCCCAGAACCTTATCTTGGTGACAATGTGAATACCCTAGAACAACATGACACAGCTAGTTTGAATCACTAAAGTGTCCACCACTCCACTGAGTGGTACCTGGGGAGGTCATGGAGACCAAGAACCCACAGCAAAGGTCATATTCCACAGAGTTGTTTTGGAAATGGTTTCTCACGACACAGTGCCTTTGAGTGAGTGAGTGAGTGAGTGAGTGTGGTTTTACGCCACTTTTAGCAATATTCCAGCATTATCTCGGTGGGGGACACCAGAAATGGGCTTCACACATTGCACCCATGTCGGGAATCGAACCCGGGTCTTCGGCGTGACGAGCGAACGCTTTAACCACTAGGCTACCCGACCGCCCGAGTGAGTGAGTGTAATATAGCTATATTACTGCTGGTAAGCAGCAATAGACATCGGCATTAGTCCTATAGTCCTTGGCAAACTGCCCAATAGTAAGGTATATCAAAGACTAGTAGAAAATTGCCATTTTTAAGAGGCTTGCTATATGTTATCATTAAAAGGACAAGTGGACTAAAAACGTTTGGTTCTTTCGCCGGTTAGGAATTGTTGTAAATATTTAATATTTTCAAGAAGTATGATAAAACTTGTTCTTCATATGAATGTTGATTTAAATAATAAAAACCAAAACCAATTGTTATAGTGAGTGAGTATGGTTTTACGCCGCTTTTAGCAATGTTCCAGCAATATCAGGGCAGGGGACACCAGAAATGGGCTTCATACACTGTACCCATGTCAGGATTCGAACCTGGGTCTGCAGCTTGTCGAGCAAACGCTTAAACCACTAGGATACCCGACCACCCCTGATTGTTATAGCTGGTACTAGAAATTAGTAGTGACCACATAAATAGAACCACAACATGTATATCATTTATTCTTAACTCAGTGACAGTCATTGTCTTATTACACACTGTTTCATCAAAGAGGTAAATGTCTGACACCTGTATATATCTGACTTTCCTCCCACATCAAGCTGATATGCTGTGATGTAACTGAGATACTGCTCTAAGAGACATTAGACCAAACACACTCACTCACTCACTCACTATTACACATGGACACACCAGCACTGCCTACACAGTCATGGGCGGATACAGAGGTGGGGTGCGGGGGTGCGCACCCTCCCCCCCCTTTTTATTTCTAAAATAATCTTTATTTCTGTATAAATTACCACCAAAGACAATAAATAAATCTTAATTGTGCACCCCTCCTTTTCAAAAAAGCTGTATCCGCCCATGACAGTAACACTGTTTTGTCAGAAAAGGCGAAACACATTACCTATCTCTTGTCCTCTGATTAAGCATGAACGCCACATGGACACACCTTCATTCCAACGTGTCACATGTATGACCCATGTTGGAAAGTATCTGCACTAGTAACATTATCTTAGCATTGTTGGTCCTACTGATAGTGCTGTATTATGAATACCTTGACCTGGCATGAACCAAAACACTATTTATGTCCATGACTTTATCAGTATTATTTAGATAAAGATTTGAAAAAAGAGCAACTGAGAAAAAATAAATTTGTGAATGTATGACACATATTTTTTCGGATCATACTATGACTTAAATACTGTTGAAAGCTGCTTTAAACCAAACTACATAGTGTGATGTATAGGTCTTCACTCTTCAATGCACTTCACTAACTCATGGCCTCTGTGTCTTGGTATACCTGTTCAGGGCAAAACAATGAATTGATACAATGAAAGGGATGTATATCACAAACAGTAGCTAACAGCGGCCCTCCTATTGCAATGTGTAGTGAACACAAACACCTATAAATGATATGTGGCAAACATTGATCTTCTGACATGCAGGAAAAAGCAACCTAAGTGTTACAAATAGTTGCAAAGAGTAACATAACAACAGTATGTAGCAAAGACCTTTATATCACACTATGTAGTAAACAGTGATCTATACATCACACTATGTACCAAACAGTGATCTATACATCACACTATGTAGTAAACAGTGATCTATACATCACACTATGTACCAAACAGTGACCTATACGCCACGGTATGAAGTAAACAGTGACCTATACATCATACTATGTAGTAAACAGTGACCTATACGCCACACTATGTAGTAAACAATGACCTATACATAACACTATGTAGCAAATAGTGACCTGTACATCACATTATGTAGCAAAACGGTGGCCCATACATCACACTATATAGTAAACAATGACCTATACATCACACTTTGTAGCAAAACAGTGACCTATACATACAACTATGTAGCAAAAAATGACCAATACATCACACTATGTAGCAAAACAGTGACCTATACATCACACTATGTAGCAAACAGTGACCTATACATCACACTATGTAGGAAAACATTGACCTAATGTGACACACTGTAGTAAACAGTGAGCTAAGGTGACGCTATGTAACAAACAGTGACCTCATATCAAACTATAAAGCTAACAGGGACCTATACATCACACTATGTAGTAAACAGTGACCTACACACCACACTATGTAGTAAACAATGACCTATACATCACACGATTTAGTAAACAGTGACCTATACATCAGACTATGTAGTAAACAATGACCTATACATCACACTATGTAGTAAACAGTGGCCAATACATCATACTATGTAGTAAACAGTGACCTATACATCACACTATGTAGCAAACACTGACCTTATGTCACACTATGTAGAAAACACTGACCTTATGTCACACTATGTAGCTAACACTAACCTTACTTCACACTATGTAGCAAACACTGAACTCATATAACACTTGCCACGTTATGTAGAAAACACTGACCTATACATCACATTATGTAGTAAACACTGACCTTTACATCACACTATGTTGTAAACAATGTCATATACATCACATTATGTAGCAAACCTTTACTTATACATCACACTATGTAGTAAACAATGTCCTATACGTCCCACTATATAGTAATCAGTAACCTTATATCAGAGTATGTAGTAAGCAGTGACCTATACATCACACTGTGTAGCAAACACTGACCTATACATCACACTGTGTAGTAAACACTGACCTATACATCACACTGTGTAGTAAACAGTGACCTATACATCACACTGTGTAGCAAACACTGACCTATACATCACACTATGTAGCAAACACTGACCTATACATCACACTGTGTAGTAAACACTGACCTATACATCACACTATGTAGCAAACACTGACCTTATGTCAAACTATGTAACAAACACTGACCCATACATCACACTATGTAACAAACACTGACCTATGTCACACTATGTAGCAAACACTGACCTATACATCACACTATGTAGCAAACGCTAACCTTAAGTCACACTATGTAGCAAACACTGACCTATACATCACACTATGTAGCAAACACTAACCTTAAGTCACACTATGTAGCAAACACTGACCTATACATCACACTATGTAGCAAACACTAACCTTAAGTCACACTATGTAGCAAACACTAACCTTAAGTCACACTATGTAGCAAACACTAACCTTAAGTCACACTATGTAGCAAACACTAACCTTATGTCACACTATGTAGCAAACACTGACCTTAAGTCACACTATGTAGCAAACACTGACCTTAAGTCACACTATGTAGAAAACACTGACCTTAAGTCACACTATGTAGAAAACACTGACCTTAAGTCACACTATGTAGCAAACACTAACCTTATGTCACACTATGTAGCAAACACTTACCTTACGTCACACTATGTAGAAAACACTGACCTTAAGTCACAGTATGTAGCAAACACTAACCTTATGTCACACTATGTAGCAAACACTGACCTTATGTCACACTATGTAGCAAACACTGACCTTATGTCACACAATGTGAAAACACTGGCCCTTAATCAAATAGGTAGCAAACAGTGACCCTCATGTCACACTATGTAGTAAACAGTGACCCTTATGTCACACTACACTACAAAGCAAACGTTGACCCTATATCACACTGAATATATCACAGGAACTCTTATGTCACACTAGGTACTATAACACACACTCTCAGAAATCTGCACCAAAGAGGTTTGTTTACCTCTGTGATAGATGGCCTAAGTTTGAGTGGACCAGCAGCCATGTCACTATAACCCTGTCAAACATCTAGCCCACACACATTGATATTGCCTTCAGTATGAAGATGTACAGATGGTAACTGTTTATTGGGCAAAAACACAACATTTTCACAACCTGTGTACACCAAATGTTACCCATGCAACTCTCTGTCACATGTGGGTAACAGTTTGAGATAGGTTTGGAGGGATTTACATGGGTTATGTATTTTGAGGGTGAAGGGGACTCAAAGCCTTTAATTGTTGGGGGTCCAAGGTAAAAACATTGGAGTCCCAAGCTACAAAATAAAGGTCCCAGAGTACTCTACCACAAGTGACATAGGACTGTGCATGCTCAGCGGCTGCTATTTGAGTGAGGTTTGGTTTTACACCGCTTTTAGCAATATTCCAGCAATATCATGGCCGGGACCACCAGAACTGGGCTTCACACATTGTACCCATGTGGGGAATTGAACCTGGGTCTTCTGCGTGACGAGCAAACGCTTTAACCACTAGACTACCCCAGCTGCTATTTAAAAACAGATACAAGTTCCCCAACTGAAGCGAAGCTAGAGCTAGAAGATTGTGATGCGTTCCACTGTGTATTGTCTTTTTCAAGTTTCCGTACGGAAATAAATTTTAAGTGGAACTAAATGATAAAATAGCAGCATTCATTCTCAAACATATTTTCTGTGTCCCAGTATTTGTTTTATGTCCATTTTCAGTTTTTATGTGTACATTATGCAGTATTTTGCATCCGGTAAATCCCTGAGTTTTTAATATGTAATAACAGAATGTATCTGGTTGTAATTACAGTCTCTTATATACCTCACATACCGGTATGTGCATGAGATGAACAATTTGTCTTTTTCCACTTAAATATTAAATACAAAACAGTGTGCGAAAAATAACCACAACATCGAGGGGTCCTTGGCATAATCAAATGTTATAAGGTATCATTTTAAAGGACCTCCAGGCTCCCCTTGTTTTTTCAAAACATTATCCATGGTCCCAAACCATAAGTGATTGCAGGCTTGTTTAAATTTATCCTTGGTTGTAACATATTTCAAAGGAATTATGAACTTACTGTGTGAATAAGTGAGTGAGTGAGTATGGTTTTAGGCCACTTTCAGCAATATTCCTGCAATATCACATTGGGATTCACACACTGGACCCATTTGAGAAATCACAGGCCTTCAGTGTGATAAACGAACACTTTAACCACAAGGCTACCCCACCCTTCCCTTATACACTTAAATTTTCTTCAGTGATATGCGACAAGCCATTATGACATAGTTTTCCCACATCAACACAACAAAGGAGCAAACTAGTCCACTATCACAATTCCATATCATTATCATTGATTCTGTATCATATGACATCTGTATGTGTGATAAGCGATAAAGATATACTAAAAGAAACATTACTCATGATACTGTGAAACACACCATAGCTTATATCTTCAGTTTATATGTTTAATAAAACAAGTTTAAAACACATAGTAATTGAATTTCAAATTAAATTGCTCTTATCTGATTTTCTTCATTTACTGATACATTCAAACATCACATATATTAATGAAATTCAATTTTTTAAATTTATTTTCAAACATAATATTTTATTCTCCATTACTATAAGAAATGATCATTTTCATGAACTGTACTTACATTTCACATTCAATACTGTAAATGATATTTATATATATACAACTAAATAAACACCAGATGTTTATAATAGTCAGTATCATGTATGTGGGAGATAAAATCAATATCATATCCTTATGTTTCATAATTACTTGTTACCTCTAACCCCCATGCACGTGCTGTCAGTGAGTGTATCATTATGTAATACAATATGTACACATCGCTATTACATCACAGTCATTTTCTTATTGTCAACATTATTGTCTTCGAAGAATGTTTTATTAAGGTGACTATATAATAACTGCACACATCTGAAAGGGTGATTGTTGTTTATTGTTGATTATTACGTCACATCTCCAGCAATTTGTTTATAGGTCATCATTAGTTTAACATTGTGTTAGTTCAGTATGTCAAGCTACACATGGTGGGGGTAATGGCGTGTCTCGTTCCACTTTGTACCACTTTGTATCGTTCGGTTACATAACAAGCAGGGAGCCGGTAATTAAGCACTGGTGTCGCGTACACCTCGCGTGCTTCACGTCCCACGTGGGAAGGAAGGAGCATGCGTTTACCGGAATCCCAAAAATGGCGCGCTTTAGTGTGAGTGGGTTAGTGTAAACAAACTTACCGTGTATGGACGCGATCATGGACCACGGACATGCCCTCCCCCTGATCAATGTCTGTGTCCCTGTGCCTGCAATATACCATAAATTTTACTGTTACCAGAGGGACACAAGTCTAAGGGGCTTGTCATGCGTGTCCTCCCGACACTACTGTCAAAAGCGACGCAGTGATATGGCAAGATGAAGGCGAGTCGCGATCTTACCCGTCCCCTTTCTCGGTCTTAGAGGACATCAGTGGGCACCAACTCTACTCCCGGGGGTGCCACACGATTCCGTGGGGTCCCACGCCATCGACCAAGGCACTGACAGTTCCTGGGGGGGTCAATCAAGGCAAAAACAGATCAAAACAATCTGTCCGCATCGCACAACCGATGTCATGCAGCGAAGCGAACAGACGTTGCGATACCGACCAGTTTCGATTGGAGAAGAGCTTGATTTAAAGCTGCACTATTGGATAACTTCCTATTAATAATTAATCCTTCACCAGATTCGAAATAGACAAGAAATCTGCCAGTGTAGATAATTGGTGGTGACGAAATCACGTTTAGGTTTATCGTGTCATTACAAGTACTTTTCCAGATTGCGAACCCGAGGACACGGAAAATGTAGGGTAGCCACTATCACGACCCTATCTTGAATCACGTGTTACATCACTGCCTTAAGAGACGAGGAAGTGGACTACAGTATTGCTAATGTAACTTTTTACCGAAAATTATTTGTTTACGGTGACGAGAATGTGTTAGGTGACAATTATCCACATCCAGGAAACAACGTCAAGTTTTGTCTTCTAAAGTCACTTTAACAGTTTTATTGCAATTTTATGAAAACTCCTTTTCGAATGTCAATTTAAACAGGCTATGGGTACAATGCATGTGTTATCTACAACGACGAATGTTCATCACTGAAATTCAAGCTCCAGGGTAAAAGCAGATCTTTAAAGTTCACTTCGGGTCATTCTCTGAGGGGCGTGTGTTACGCTTGCTGCGGTCGCGCGAGGTCGCCTGTGCCATGTCATGTTACGTAATTGATGCGTAACGGACCGTAACGGCTGTTTCCCGGCGACGAGACTGTTGCATAGAGTGTATGTCTGTGGAAAAACTGGGTCAGTTATTTGTAGGCCGGACCGACAGCCTGAGTGTACCGTAAATCGCACTCAGCATTGTGGGCGAGCAAAACACGTAACGGCAACCCAGCTTTCAGCGCACCTGTCATTGTCCCAAAGCTTACAGTTTAACCTAAGAATTGATTTTTGGGGGTGCTCCTCACGGTGACACGTTATTTTGCCGCCATCGTTTTTCTTTCGTCACGTAATTAAAATATTACGATGTAATGATAAAGCACACAAACTGGTTGGTGTTTTTTTTTACATATTTTTATTGACCCTTTACCTCGCAAGGATTCAAAGTTAAATTGTTGGAGTAAATTCACCGTTTGGCCGTTTGCATCCAGTTTAAATATTTGACTAAAAATTCCCTTTAACACGTGAGAATTTTACTATAACATAGATAGCTTAATTTAATTGAAAAAAATCAAAACATGTGATAATATTAATTTTCAATGCATGGGCTGGTCTCTACTCATTGAACAACTAAATATAACTATAATAAGAAAAAAACATTAAAAACTTTAAAAATGTATTATTAAAATTAAAACAAGTGTACATATGTTGTTTGTTATATTTCCAAATTTGTCATCTATGACAAAACTGATGCAGAATTAAGGTAAACGTGTCAGAACTCTGATTTGGGGGCTTCGGGAAATGCAATTCTAATATTTCAGTCTATGATCCGAGCTGGTATTAGTATAGATAAAGGTAAAGATGGTTCTACCATGTGAAAAGTTCAACCTGTGTCACAGATATGCTCAATATACATTTTGTGCCTTACGTTTGTACTTGATCATGTTATAAGTTCTAATAATAGAAAAATAAACGTCTAGTTGACAGGGATAGGAACATGAGCAATAACTCGGGTAACAATTCAGTTAAATAAGCGTCTCTCTCTCTCTCTCTCTCTCTCTCTCTCTCTCTCTCTCTCTCTCTCTCTCATGGCTTACAGTTGATACCATCAATCAAAATCTATCCATATTCAATACTTTCATCACAAAGTCTTATTACAAAGTATATGAAAGTACCTTCTGGCTTTCACTGAGAGTTTTAGAAAAAGCATTATCTTTAATTTGCATGCTCTTATAGATCTAATTTCACGCTGCTAAAATAATTCTCTTTTTTAACTGTAGCGCAGAGCAAGTATACTCTTGAAAAAGGTAAGGGGTCATGAAATATAAATGTTAATTCCAAGAATCAGAACATTCGGTCACAACATCTACTGTCATACTTCACTTCCGGTTGTTATGTGTTCCCAATTCGTTCATTATCATCATACAACTATGCCTAGAATCTGGTATCCCTTACACTTTTGGAAATGTTAAGTTATATCCCCTATTTTGTTTTAAGAGTACATGTCAAGTGTTTTACCCCTTTCAGTCTGCACCAGTAGAATGGGATAGAGGTGAAATATGCTTGGCATTAATGTGAACCTGTTTTCATTTATTTTGTCCTTTTTGAGAAACTAAAAATATTCAATGTTTGAGTGAGTGGTAACTACAGCCTCATATAACTGTATTTAGATTTCAATGTCATAGTCGTGTCATCGAAGTTCGTATATTAAATTAATTTACACTAAGACTCTGGAGAATCCTACAAACTGGTTTTTTTTCAAACTCGCCGTATTACTGGCGAGACACTGAATGGTTCATCATGTTACCTGATCTTGAAGGGTGGAGGGCGTTAGTGCCCCGGGTAGAGTGGTTCATCATGTTACCTGATCTTCAAGGGAGGAGCGCGTTAGTGGCCCGGGTAGAATGGTTCATCATGTTACCTGGTCTTCAAGGGTGGAGGGCGTTAGTGGCCCGGGTAGAGTGGTTCATCATGTTACCTGATCATCAAGGGTGGAGGGCGTTAGTGGCCCGGGTAGAATGGTTCATCATGTTACCTGATCATCAAGGGAGGAGGGCGTTAGTGGCCCGGGTAGAATGGTTCATCATGTTACCTGGTCTTCAAGGGAGGAGGGCGTTAGTGGCCCGGGTAGAGTGGTTCATCATGTTACCTGATCTACAAGGGAGGAGGGCGTTAGTGGCCCGGGTAGAATGGTTCATCATGTTACCTGATCTACAAGGGAGGAGGGCGTTAGTGGCCCGGGTAGAGTGGTTCATCATGTTACCTGATCTACAAGGGAGGAGGGCGTTAGTGGCCCGGGTAGAATGGTTCATCATGTTACCTGATCTACAAGGGAGGAGGGCGTTAGTGGCCCGGGTAGAATGGTTCATCATGATACCTGATCTACAAGGGAGAAGGGCGTTAGTGCCCCGGGTAGAATGGTTCATCATGTTACCTGGTCTTCAAGGGAGGAGGGCGTTAGTGGCCCGGGTAGAGTGGTTCATCATGTTACCTGATCTTCAAGGGAGGAGGGCGTTAGTGGCCCGGGTAGAATGGTTCATCATGTTACCTGATCTTCAAGGGAGGAGGGCGTTAGTGCCCCGGGTAGAATGGTTCATCGTGATACCTGATCATCAAGGATGGAGGGCGTTAGTGGCCCGGGTAGAATGGTTCATCATGTTACCTGATCTTCAAGGGAGGAGGGCGTTAGTGGCCAGGGTAGAATGGTTCATCATGTTACCTGATCATCAAGGATGGAGGGCGTTAATGGCCCGGGTAGAATGGTTCATCATGTTACCTGATCTTCAAGGGAGGAGGGCGTTAGTGGCCCGGGTAGAGTGGTTCATCATGTTACCTGATCATCAAGGATGGAGGGCGTTAGTGGCCCGGGTAGAGTGGTTCATCATGATACCTGACCTTCAAGGGTGGAGGGCGTTAGTGGCCCGGGTAGAATGGTTCATCATGTTACCTGATCTACAAGGGTGGAGGGCGTTAGTGGCCCGGGTAGAATGGTTCATCATGTTACCTGGTCTTCAAGGGAGGAGGGCGTTAGTGGCCCGGGTAGAGTGGTTCATCATTTTACCTGATCTACAAGGGAGGAGGGCGTTAGTGGCCCGGGTAGAATGGTTCATCATGTTACCTGATCTACAAGGGAGGAGGGCGTTAATGGCCCGGGTAGAATGGTTCATCATGTTACCTGATCATCAAGGGTGGAGGGCGTTAGTGGCCCGGGTAGAATGGTTCATCGTGATACCTGACATTCAAGGGAGGAGGGCGTTAGTGGCCCGGGTAGAATGGTTCATCGTGATACCTGACATTCAAGGGAGGAGGGCGTTAATGGCCCGGGTAGAATGGTTCATCATGTTACCTGATCATCAAGGGTGGAGGGCGTTAGTGGCCCGGGTAGAATGGTTTATCGTGATACCTGACATTCAAGGGAGGAGGGCGTTAGTGGCCCGGGTAGAATGGTTCATCATGTTACCTGATCTACAAGGGTGGAGGGCGTTAGTGGCCCGGGTAGAATGGTTCATCATGTGACCTGATCATCAAGGGAGGAGGGCGTTAGTGGCCCGGGTAGAATGGTTCATCATGTTACCTGATCTACAAGGGAGGAGGGCGTTAGTGGCCCGGGTAGAATGGTTCATCATGTTACCTGATCTACAAGGGAGGAGGGCGTTAGTGGCCCGGGTAGAATGGTTCATCATGTTACCTGATCTACAAGGGTGGAGGGCGTTAGTGGCCCGGGTAGAATGGTTCATCATGTTACCTGATCTTCAAGGGAGGAGGGCGTTAATGGCCCGGGTAGAATGGTTCATCATGATTCCTGATCATCAAGGGAGGAGGGCGTTAATGGCCCGGGTAGAATGGTTCATCATGTTACCTGATCTACAAGGGAGGAGCGCGTTAGTGGCCCGGGTAGAACGGTTCATCGTGATACCTGACCTTCAAGGGTGGAGCGCGTTAGTGGCCCGGGTAGAATGGTTCATCGTGATACCTGACCTTCAACGGTGGAGCGCGTTAGTGGCCCGGGTAGAATGGTTCATCATGTTACCTGATCTACAAGGGAGGAGGGCGTTAGTGGCCCGGGTAGAATGGTTCATCATGTTACCTGATCAGGAGTACACTTGGGTAATGGTATAAATAGCTGTCTGCATTCCGTGTTATTGGCACAAGATTGGGATGCAGTACCCAGTAGATGCATGAGTGGCAACATGTGAAGAGCTGTCTGCTGTGGTGTGCTACAGTACACCTTCAGACACCCACACTCCACATCCACCTGTGAAGATCCGGGTACAGAATAGGTCTTCAGCAACCCATGCTTGCCGCAAAAGGCGACTTTGCTTGTCGTAAGAAGCGACTAACGGGATCAGGTGGTCAGGCTAGCTGACTTGGTTGATGCATGTCATCACTCACAATTGCGTGAATCGATGCTCATGATGTCAAGCACTGGGTTGCCAGGTCCAGACTCGATTATTTACAGACCGCCGTCATATAGATGGAATATTGCTGAGTGCGGCGTTAAACAACAAACAACCAAACAA